TTGCTCTTTCTAGCTAGGAGGATGGTTATTGACAAGGCCTAATTTCCCTTCAATTACAGCTAGGTTCTCTAAATAAAGCCTTCAAACACTTTTCTACAGAAAGAGAAACTTTAAAGAAACAAACAAAATAGATTTATTGGAAATGCTTTTACTCTAAGGGGTGTGAACTTGGAACTTGTTTAGGTGCTTAAAAAAAGTTGTCTTTAGTTGTTCAAAGGAGTTGCCATTCAACAAAGCAGTTTATGAGTATAATGCATTATATTCAATGTCACCCCTTCCATCATTCTTCCCCATCCTTCCTAATCCTACCTTTTATTAATTTTGTAGGCTATGCATTGAATTTTATGATTGTGACCACCCCTACTTCCTCTCTTCATCTACCCCTTCTTCACCTTAATCAACTACCCATCCCCCCCCCACGCCCACCCCCTCCCTCCGGCTGCTGGGGCTTGACTCAGGACAGTGGTACCGTCCCTGAATTGTTTTTGCTCTGAGCCACAGCAGTCCCTAGGCCTCTTCCTGCCAGAGCTGGCTTCAAACCATGATCCTTAGATCTCAGCCTCTTGAGTAGCTAAGATTACAGGAATGAGCTACCAGCAACCTGGCTCATCCCTCTTTTTAGTACCCATTTGCTGGTGTTTATTGTGTTGGACTGTGTTAACCTTTCTAAGGAATTACTACTTTTGAGTTCTCCCCCGAACCTACCATATTTTTGTTAATATACTTATGTACACTTGGATACCACCACAGAGTGTTTACATGTTTATAAATCAATTCTAGGTTCCAAATATGAGAGAAAACATGCATCCAGGTCCTATGAATACAGGGATGCTATTTTCTGGTTAAAAATGCACATATTTGCATGCCACATAAATTCCTTTGCTCAGGACTGTCCAATTTCGTAGCACATTTTATTGCCAATTAGACTTACTCATCCTGATGAAGGCATGCATGAAAAGATTGGATTTTTACAATTTGATTTATAGCTAAGCATTTTTGCTCCTCAAACTGGTTTAAGCTGGAGTCATAGGTTAACATATAAATAAATAAGTGCCAGCAAGCTAATAGGGATAGGTCCTTGGGATGTATTAGATACACTGCTTCTCTGCTACACACTCTCCCCCAAACTGCCTCAAAAGTGTTTCAGCCATGAAGTATTTCCATTATCCTTTCCACTGGCCTCTGAGTAACTTTAAAAAAGTCCTTAGAATGAAAAGACAGGTGGAAATTTATTTAACATACTCTGACTCATATTTCAAAGGCCTCAAAGCTCCCCAGATGAAGAGATTCAGTTTGTTAGTCTGAGACCACTTGCATGAATCTAATTCCACACACAGGACCGCTCCAGAGAAAAAGGAACTAAAATGAGGTGTCATAAGCATTAATTCCCTGAGCTCATATCCATGTGCATTAATGTCAGTGGGTTTTTTATTTTTCCCCTGTAGGATGGCAGGTACTGAGATTTATGACCTCAGGTAAAGGCAAGGAATTAATTGTAAAAGTATTTCACAAAATTATAGGAAATGCTAGCTTCATTGGTAGATTGCATCCTCTCTGAAGGGCAGCTGCTTATCTAGGTATTTTCTAACTCCCTCACAGTCACTAGTTTTTTGTTTTTCCCCCTAAAGAATAACTGCCCATTGTTACCTACTCTCTAAGGACTGGTATCTGAGGCTGTATTAAGGCTTGGACTTGTGCCTTGTTTGAAGAATTGCTTCTAGCTGTGGAATCCCACCCAGATATTTTCAATAGCCCTTTTGTATTTAAAGAGGAATGAAAATACTTTGGTAAATAAATATGGCTCTATTTGAAGTTAGTAGCAATAATGAAACCATAAAAGCACCTTCAAACAAACTGTCGATTGTAAAATCTCAAACCTATAAAAGTCCTAGAACAAATACTATAGCTTTAAAACAATCTTAATGCTTCTCTGCAAAAGGCCACATCCCAAGGGGGTCTTTGACTTCCATCTCATAATGTAACAGATACCAGTTAGATTATTTCTGCTGTTAAAACACCAACTTTACACAGTACACTCAATCTAGGGCGTGCTGCTATGGCTGAATTCTGAATAAAATCAGTGATAAAACAATCAGCATTTATTGCAGAATGTTTACAGAGAGGATACTACTAAAACTTCTTAGAATTGCACACTTAAGTAAACTATTTTTCCTCTTTGAACTGCTCAGTTTAAGAAGTTATACTTAGCCAGGAGCTGGTGGCTTACACCTGTAATCCTGGCTGCTTAGGAGGATGGGATCTGAGGATGGTGGTTCAAAGCCAGCCCAGGCAGTAAAGTTCTTGATACTCTCATCTCCAATAACCATCTCTGTGTCCCCCCTGCAACAGAAAACTGGAAGTGGCACTTGGCTCAAGTGATAGAGGTCTAGCCTTGAGCTAAAGAGCTGAGGGACAGGGACAGCACCCAGGTCGAGTTCAAGCCCCATGAACAAATATATGTGTGTGTGTGTGTGTATGTATATATATATGAATATGTATATGTATGTATGTGTGTGTATGTATGTATATATATATATATATATATATATATATATATATATTTATCCCCTCCACCCAATTAGAAGCAACTGTCTGGCTCTGGTGTATGTGTGGGGTCAGGAGTGGGGTAGTGAGTTGAGCCTCTAAGAAACTTCTTCCCTCTCCACGCTCTGTGCAAACTCAACTTGGGAAGTAATTACTTCAGGGTTCCTAACATGTTAGCCACACCCACCATGGGGGATTCCTCCTACCACCTCAGCTGCCACCTGGCCTCATCTTTGCTTTGGAAGCGCCTAGCTGTAGACACCTGACACCCTGTATCAGCTTTCATTCTCCTGTCCCTCCACACCTGGTCCAGTTAAATTCCTGCCTCTTCAAGTCAGGATTTGCAACTTGTGATTCAGACAACTTTATGGGCATTTGGTGTCCAAATTACTATTATACTATTATTAAAAATATTTTTGACCATGTATTGATATAACATTAAATCATTAATTACCATTTCCATTTCAAATAAGTTTACTGAACAGAATCTGATAAACTGAAGAGTATTTCTGCAGAGGTGCATTATGCAAAACCACTGCCCTAACCATGAAATTAGAAAAGTTAAAGACCTTTCCTTTGAGAGAGCACTTATGCTTGCTGATTTAGGTTAAGTACAAAAGGGCTACAAATGAAAGTACTGGCTTTTCTTTCTTTTTTGGGATGAGGTAGGTCACTATGTTGCCCAGCCTCCCCAAGAATTTCTGCACTCAAGTGAATGTCCTGACTTAGCCTCCCTAAGTAGCTGGAACTACAGGTGCACACTACGAGACTAGATAGAACTCACAATTCACAATTCTCTTTTATTCCTGTGTTTCACTTACAAACTAGACAACTTTTTAAGTCAAATAAAATCTGAAGCAGACCATCTATACTTGGGAACCTTTGTTTACATGATAAGTTATTTTCTTTCTGCAGACACTTGTAATTTTGAATTAAAAAATCTATGAAACACAATATATTATCTTAGCTTCAATAGTCAAAACATTGTAACATTCTTAGTGACTCATTTATAATAAGCAAGAATATAAGGACAGATGGGGACTGAGGTTTGAAAATCAGGTATCAATCAGTAATCTCACTTGTTGAGGACTTGGTGGGCTCATCAGCAACTTTATTGAAGATTCCTTTACTTTAAATTCTATTGTTTCTAAAATCTACAGTTATATGGTAATGAGGAACATCAGAAGACTAATCCTTACTTTCCCTTTTAGTACTGGTTTTCTTTTCCTTTTCTTTTTGGGGGGGTCCGGTCGTGGGGCCTGAACTCTGGGCTGGGCGCTGTCCCTCAGCTCTTCAGCTCAAGGCTAGCACTCTACCACTTGAGCCACAGCACCACTCCTGGCTTTTTTCTTTTTGCTTATGTGGTGCTGAGGAATCGAACCCAGGGCCTCAAGCATGCAAGGCAAGTGCTCTACCACTGAGCTACCTTCCCAGCCCCATTAGTACTGGTTTTCTTGTGAGCCTTTCTTCATCAGTAAATGCTTCTCAAAAGTTAAAAGGTTGGATGGCACATTTTTTTGTTATAATTGGTATTCCTTTTCCATGTAATCCTTTTTGTTTTTTTCTGGTACTATCTATGGGCTTTCTCTTGTTGCCCTGATGAACTACTATACAGTCAGAACTACTGTATAGATCTTTCTTTGCCCCACCCCATCTTGTCCCTTGTTTAGCCAGGGGAAAGCACATTTTCTACTACAACAACTAGCTATGTCACCTTCATTTTTTTTGAACACTCAGGGTTTTGGAAGCTTAAAGTTTGAATTTTCAGTTTTCTCTCTGATCATATAAGAAAGTTTGCAAGCATCTACCTTGTGGCTCAGAAAGAAAGTCTGATGTGACATGATACATAGTATCATAGTCACAAGTACTAGTTACAACAATTACTAGGAAAACTTTTGATCTTATTTATTCCATTTCCTATTAATAATTGAGAGGCATGCTTCCTTCAGAGAAACCATATTATTATTTTTGCCAGCCCTGGGTCCTGAACTCAGGGCTGGGACACTGTCCCTGAGCTTCTTTTTGCTCAAGGCTAGTGCTCTACCACCTGAGCCACAGCACCACTTCTGGCTTTTTCTGTGCATGTGGTACTAAGGAATTGAACCTAGGGCTTCATGCATGCTAGGCGAGCACTCTACCACTGAACCACATTCCTAGCTAGAAACCAAATTATAAAAATGTACTTTTATTTTATAAGTACAAGAACTGTCGGGCGCCGGTGGCTCACACCTGTAATCCTAGCTACTCAGGAGGCTGAGATCTGAGGATCACAGTTCAAAGCCAGTCTGGGCAGGAAAGTCTGTGAGTCTCTGATCTCCAATAAACCACTACAAAACCGGAAGTGGTGCTGTAGCTAAAGCAGTAGAGTGCTTGCCTTGAGCTGAAGAGCTGAGGGACAGTGCCCAAGCCCAGAGTTCAAGCCCGACAACCGACAAAAATACCCAAAAAACAAAAACTGTTTTTCATAAGCATTTTAATATTTTAAAAATGTAAAGGAAAAGCATCCCTTGACCTAGCAGAGTTATCACTATTAAGAAGAATTTGAAACAGCAAATGATTAACATTCAAGAAAACTGAGGATTATTAATTTTTAAAAGTAGGAGCTGAATTAAAAAGTGTACTTGGGTACAGAGGAAGAAATACTGTGAAAATATTTTGGCTAAAGGAAGTTAACTGCAGTTGAAAACACAACTTCCTCAGACAGAAACTTGAAAGCCAAATAACAAAAAAGCAAGATCATCCTGCTTTTGGCAAAAATCTTGTCTGACATAGGACTCTTGGTGTGATATCCAAGTTATGGTCCACCAGTACACCCATCTCTGTTCTTTCCACGATGTCTATTTCAATAACTGGCAACTCTAGCCTTCCAGTTGCTGTGGGTGACTAAGCAGTCTTTTTGCTTTACTTTTGGTGCTGGGAATTGAACCCAAGGCCTTGCACTCTACCACTTTCCTTTGCTTTGCACACTTCTCTCTTCCCGATTAGAATACAAATTCCATGAGGGCAAGGATGTTTTTGTACTGCTGGATTACCCAGTGCTTAGAATGGTTTGGTGCACACCAGGGATTTGTACAAGCTACAAGAAGAATCAGTAGGTAACATTTGAGGACGAGGCACTTATATGAATAATTCTGAAAGTGCAGGTGTGGTGTGAGATTGTATAAAAGAAGTATGTTATGATCTGACTTGTTGCAAGGTTAATACTTACAGCATAAAGAGAAAGGAATGTATTCTATGTTGCCAAATATGACAATTTGAAGAGACAATGTTAGAATTGCTTATCTTATAAAGGAATAACGGAGGACAGTTTTTCACTGATATTCTCAGTATGTGTCAGATCCTGCATCACTCAAGGTTCTTGAGATATCTTGAAGAAAAAAAGTGGAGTACTCAAATGCTAGATTTAATTATACATCTGTATCAGAATGAGTTATTCCTACCCTGCTTTACATAAACCAGGGGACTTTTTTTTTTTGAGTGAAGTAAGCAATTGCAGCTTGAAGAGGGTAACTTGGTAAAGGATTCCTATGTCTCAGTGTTTGTCCTTCATGTTGTTATGTTTTATGACTAATATTGTAGATGAGAGGGAATTGAATTCCCTATACAAATTAAGGAACTTGTATATATGAAGATGGCTTTGATAAGAGTTAAGCCATAAAAATTACCTTTCTTGATGGTGCTTTTGGAGACACTACTTAAATAGCCTTGTATGCAATCTGTAAAGAACCAACTCTCTAAAAAAGGTCCTATAATATTGAGCTCCTAACAACTTCTTTTATTAATGAGATGATTTCCAAAGATAGATAGATGAAAGTGTGACATTAAGTACAAACTTCTTGTGTAATGTAAATGGATATTTTAAAGTGTAGTTTTCACTTCTGGTTTCCCATTCTCAGTTATGCAAAAAGGAACTCACAGAGGCAAATTCAAATATCTATTTTGAAAAGTATTTACTTAGTTTGAATAAATTAATTGCAAATAAAAATTAAGCTACAATATATAGCCTGAATAGAAATGACTAGAACAAACACAACACAGGACTTAATTTCCTTGCATTAGTCACAAATCATGTGACAATCTAAAAAACTTCAAAATCAATTATATTTCTTTGAAAAGGGTAACAGCAGTTACTGATACATCACAACTAATAAACTTATAGTACAAGTTTCCTGACATGCATTTCCTGAGTGAACCCAAATGATCATTTTTTTCAAACAAGGAATTTTGACACAGTAAAATAAAATAGTTCATGGCTTCTAAGCAACAATTTTTTTTAAAGAAAGAAAAAAAAGTGATGTAATAGAATAAAGTTATGCTACCATACAAAATTTTGCTATAGTCAATTAAGTATGATACAGTTTTTCAAACTAAAGGAAATCAAAAGACTAAAACTAAAAATGATTTGTCTAATCTAAAAGTGTACTGATTTCTACAAGTATCGAAAGGGTCTGATGTAGTGCAACTGTCTCTTCTTGTGGAGCATTTTAAAAAAGGTTGGAGAGGAACAGAAACATTTTCTTGCTTCTGAAAGCAAAGGATATCCTGGGGTTCAAGAATAAACAGACCTTGCAAGTTTGTTCCTTCCCTTTGCTGTCACTGATGCTCATCTGACAACCAAGCACTAAGCACTCATTTAAATCATACCACAGCAACTTTCCTTAGGATTCAATTCCACAGTTAAGGCTGGTCTGCTTTAATGGGGGGAGGGATGGCTCTATTGTCATCCAACCCTTTATGTCTCTATATTTTCTAATGCCTGGATAAAGCCAAATATAGAATTAACTAAGCATTTCTGTTTCTAAAAACAAATATTCACTATCTTTCCTTATTTGATGCTTTTTTACCATAGAAATGGTTTTTTTTTTCTAGAAACAGTGAACAGATGAGAACCATAGTTTATATCCAAAAAATAAACTTGCCAAATGTTGCTGATACTAAAAACAGATTAGTCATCATGGGAGAAAAATAGATAATCTAGATTAGATTGCATATTCAAAGGAGTATATAAAATGTTTTTAGCATTAAGTTTTTGTTATAGTACTACACTTGAGAGAAACATTAAGGAAAAAAATCTTCCTGATTAACTTCATTGTGTTAAAAACAAATACCTTTTAGACAATGGTAATTAATATGAATTCAGTATTACAAAGTATTTTAATTCACCAAATTCCATATTTAACAGGGTGAGGAGAGAGGCTCTCTTGTCCTTAGCTTTGCAAATCCTTGAGCTATGTGCTCACTACACTACCATTCACACTGAGAGTGTGACACCATCATTACCATGCTACTCTACCAAAAACATTCTAATATACTTTCTATCATAAAGATAAATAGAAAAAAGTTAATATACATGTTGCTATATTTTACAATGTTTGCAACAAACTGTAAACTAACATAGTTTGAACCAACAGTACCCTCAGTTATACAAAACAATTTCTCAACACTGAGGATGGGTGATTCAAAACACTAAAATGAAGGCATCAAATTAGACTATGTCTTTTTTCCTCAAAATATATTTTCAAAACTCAGAATTCAGAAGTCTGGTACTTTCAAAAATCCCTTTGCTTGAGTTTCCCAGATTTTTGCTCAGAAATTGCTACTATTTATTATAAATGTTTAAAAAAATTCTTCATCTTAATGCAAATGACCAGAGCAGAGAAACTGATGTGGACAACAGGTTGAAAAACCCAACTCACTTAGCTTATAAATTTATAATGTAGTCCTGGAGGACAACTGTTAGTCTAGAGGTCCTTGGAAAATAAGTCTGATGTAGCCTTGTTCACCAGCCAACTGATGTGCACAAAAGGGACAGGCTGCATGAAAAGTGTGAGTACCATGAGGAAGTGGGATCTGGGACCAATAGGCCGTTGTCTTTTCTGAACACACATGCCCACAGGGGCTAAACGCATGGGTTGGAGGGCCGGCGTCCACATAAAATCCAGCTTCACATCCAAGCCACAGAGGGACATAGGGACCAACAGACCTACACATAGGACATTCACGATCTTTTCCATCACGTTCTTCTTTGTTTCCCCAGTTATGATAGCCATGTACATGGCCGCAGTTTAGATAGACCCATGGTTGTTTTTCATCTACAACATCTTTCCTCTTCATACTAGGAAAGGCTAGTGTGTTGAACCCTACAGGGCACTGAGGTCTTGCTGCATTGATTTCCTGTCTTAAAGCTTCTAAATGCTTCACAGTTGGGGTGTGGGAAAGGCCTTCTGCAGTACGCCACAGCAATGTTGCACCACAGAGATCAATAAGTGAGCCATCTTGTAACTGATTGGTTTCAATTTCCACCTGGAAGAGACGAGAATCAAAAGACACATTGGTTTGGAGTTTACATCGGTTTTGGGGATTTCTCATAAACATCTCCTAGATTTCCTAGGATTACTAAGAAAGTCAAGAAACTAAAAGCCATCAGGAAAAGTTTGAAAATCAAAGATAAAATACTCAACACCAACATGTCTCTATTTTAGCCTAAAGACAACTCGTGACTTAAACACTAACCAAATTATAAACTAGTTTTTAATTTTAAACAAAAACAAACAGAAAGGTAAAAATGTGGTTAAATCTAGAAAGGCTTAAGCTTTTAAATATATGAACATAATGTGACAAAAATGTTTATTACAGACTTTTCCTAATTGAAATATTAAGAGCTCAGAGTAGTGGCTTATGTTTGTAATTCTAACTATTAAGGAGGTGAAGATCAGGATGATCACTGTTTGTGGCCAGCCCAAGCAAAAGTACAGATGTGAGAGATAGACAGGAAGATCCTAAGTTTGAGGGCTGCTTGGGCTACAAAGCTATATCTAGTTTCAGAAAAACAAAAATAATACAAAGAAGGAGGCAACAATGCTTGACAAGAAATGTACTCATGGCTGTGCACCAGCGGCTCACGCCTGTAATCCTACCTATACTCAGGAGGCTGAGATCTGAGGATCAAAGTTCAAAGGCAGCCCAGGCAGGAAAGTCTGTGAGACTCTTATCTCCAATAAACCACTAGAGAACAGGAAGTAGCACTGTGGCTCAAGTGGTAGAGCGCTTGCCTTGAGCTGAAGAGCACAGAGCCCAAGCCCAGAGTTCAAGCCCACTGACACCAACAAACAAAAACAAAAGCTATTATGGTCTTCTAGTATAGTATTTCTCAGTATCTGATAATCAAGTCAGGCTTAGTTCCCTTTGTTGGTGATATACTTAAGAGGCTTTATTTTGTTGTTTGTTTTAAAAATAAAACATATAATGATATGCTGGGTACCAGTGGTTCATGCCTGCGAACCTACCTACAAGGAGGAAAGTCCAAGAGACCTTATCTCCAATTAACCATAGAAAGCACTGGGAAAGGAGCTCCAGTGGTAAAGCACTAGTCTTGGGCAAAAATGTTCAGGGACAGTGCCCAGACCCTGAGTTCAAGCCCTAGGAACTCCTCCCCTAACCCCCAAAGCATATATATAATAATAATGCATTTAGTCCAATTTATCTCACATGTTCACTATAGTTAAATAAAAAGCTACACTTCAATAGTTACCATTTTCCCTCTCTGCTGAGCTGACCGGGTTTCACGCAGGCTAAATACATTTCCACACACTGATATTTCTCTCCATATTCCAGGCTTGGAGTCTTCGGTGAACCCATTGCGTGGATGCATCACAAGAACACCATTAGTGGTCAAGCCATCCATCTGCCCATCAGATGTCTTCCACTTGGCAGCTTTCTCCTATCAAGAGAATAATGTACTGCCATTTAGGTATAACTTGGAAATAGAAGCTGATGAAAGAATATATTGTTTAGGAAGAAAGTTTTTTACCCCAAGAAAGATATTTTTTGATGAATCAAATCCTGCAGCATAAATCCGTGCTGTATAGGGAGGATTCCGTTCACATATGATTCTACAGGCAAATCTTGATATAGTGCTCTGAACTGACTGTGTATCAGAATTACTTTGACTTCCAGGAACTGTGTCGGTTACTACGAAATCAATAGGGCTTTCAGTCGACCGACCAATCTAAAGAAAAAAGAAATATATATATAAACCTATTCAAACAACACAGTGCTAAAATCCAATCAAGAAAGGCATAATGAGATAAGAACATTAAGCTCCTGAAATTTCTAAAGCTCATATGTATCGTACTTAACTTTAGGACATCTATACCCTTGAAAACTAATCTATCAGAGTTTTTGATATACTAGTCATTTTGTGCATAGAATGAACTGGGAAATTCTGACAGAATTCATGGAACCCTTAGGGAATAAAAAATTCAGGATAGTTGAGATTTCTAGATGGCTATAAACTAACCCTTTCAGGTGTAAATATAACTACTATTTATAATTCTACCTGGATTGTTCCACAAAAAGAATTTACAATGAGTAAACGTTATACTCAATGCCATTTATATAAAGCTGAATGAAATGCAATGATGTATTTAGTTGCAGTGAAAGATATACACAAATACTGGTCTTAAGGGGTTGCATTGAGGTCTAATGTGCACTTCACAGATTTCTCTATTTGAATCTAGTAACAAGCCTTTAATTCTGGTATGAGTTGAGAAATCAAATAATCAACTAACTTCAAAGAATAGTTTCAAAAGGTTCTAGGCCTAAGAATTCTTGAGGAAGCAGAGAAAAGCCATTTTAATGTGTGGATTCTGTGGCATTTATTTTGTACACCTAGAGGTCTTCCTGAAACATCTTCCTGAGACCATTTATAACTATCAAGAGACATAAACTAAAATGTTTGTACAGGCTCTTAAGGAATCATTTTTATGGGGTTGGATGAAAGTGATGTGAAAGCCAATTAGAGAATTAGCATTAAAGAAACTCTTAACATGAATCATACTGTGCTATCTAATGACATTTGTGTAGGTTTTTTTTCTCTTTATAATACTTAGAACTTTTTTCTTTCTTCTAGCTCATATTTTTGTGAGACAGGTTTCTGGATGGGTGAGGTTATCAGAGAATTAACACCTTCAGGTGTACTAAACAGTAATTAAGTTACTTTCAGTTTGGGAATTGAAAAGAAAAAGGCAGACAGTGGAAGAAGTCACAGAGGTTAAAGTAAATATAACTATTAGTTTGTTAATGTATTTGTTACAAATTACTATCATAAAATTGAAGGATGTAGATACTAGGGGGGGGGGGAGGGAACCCCAGAATCTACAAAGATGATGCTTTTTCCTAGATAGGGAACCAATCAATGAGTACTGCCTTAGCCTACCAAATGGTATGATTAGGGGCTCATATTCTCCATGCTTTCCCAAAGATAATTCTTAAAAAGTAACTGCTTGCACTCAGGCACCAGATTACACAGGCCTTTGAAACTGAAATTATTAAAAAAAAAAAAAAAAAGATGTTCTTAGAGATGGCTTTTTTTTTTTAGAGCTAAATTTAGTTGCTTGTTGGTAAAATAAAATGTGGGAGAACATTCTAATTCTTTGAGTTAGGTTTTTGGTGAGATGCAACCTTTATCTTCATTATGTATTTAGATTTAGTAAAAGCAAGAAGACAAACACACACTCATTGTAAATCAGCTGTGGAGACACTATTCAAAAAATTCGACATCTCATTTAAAAGGGCTGAGAAAAACAAGTCCAAAGAAGTACTTTTGCTATTAAAATTAAAATTAATTTAGAAAGGTCTTTCAACTTTACTTAATATTAAAACTAGAGAAAAATGGTAAATTAACTAGAACAATAATTGTAAGAGCAACATTATCAGGCAGTTTATGTTCTAGCTTATTTTTAAGTGACCTAATATTAAGGGAGAAGAACCACAAATTTTACTAAACCTTGGGCCTAATTCTTTTATAATCTATTGGTTTATAAAAACATAAGCACTAGCCCTGTAAAAAAAAATGAGGAACTCTTTTTTTTTTTTTTTGTCGGTCATGGGACTTGAACTCTGGGCTTGGGCGCTGTCCCTCAGCTCTTCAGCTCAAGGCAGCGCTCTACCGCTTGAGCCACAGCACCACTTCCGGTTTTCGAGGGGTTTATTGGAAATAAAAGTCTCACGGACTTTCCTGCCCGGGCTGGCTTTGAAATGCGATCCTCAGATCTCAACCTCCTGAGTAGCTAGGATTACAGGCGTGAGCCACCGGCACCCACTGGCGCCCAGCAGGAACTCTTTTTTGTACCAGTAGCTTTGAGTAAAGTATGTGCTGAAAAACAGTTTTAGAATTTGTTTGTAGTTTTTGTAGTGTAGAGAAGGTGAGGTAATATTCTCCATGTCCCTCCCTTACAAAAAATTTGTAAATGTACACAGAATACTTCTGGTTTCTTTTTCTGAATATTCATACTAACATTTCCTAAGAGTTTTTAATAGGTAGCTGGCACAAATCTGAGCATTTTTCACATACAAACTCATTTAATCTTCCTAACTGTCCTGATGGAGATTCTGTTATCCTTAAAGGACACTGAGGCGTGCAGCAGCAGAGTCCATATCTTAACATGCCACAATGACTTTTATATATAAGGTTTAGAAAACAATAGTTTTGCAAGATTACGATATGGTATCCTTAATCTGAGCACAGCTAAAGTCACTGACAAGTTTTAACTGAAATGATTTTATAGTGCTTTATTTTGTTCTGTTTTTAAGAATGGTCTTTCAGAGATTCAGTGAAAAGATGAATGGCATGAGGACTAACAGGGTCAGGAGCAGTTGAGCATCTAGCAATGCAGACAGAACAAATAGAACAAGATCAACCATGTTGATAATTGAAGCCAGGTGAAGAGAAATATTTTGTACTATACTAGATTCTCTTCCTTTGGTGGTTTTTGAAGTTTCCCATAATAAAAATGCATTTTTAAAGACAACTACATAGCTAAGTCTACTTAGCAAAACATAAAAAGCTAAATATAAACACTTTATTAGAAAAATTTCAAATTTGCCACTTGCAAATTTGAAAGATTAAGAAAACATAATAACTTACAGGAAGTATGAGGATTTTGTTGGTACAGTATTGAAAACAGATTAACTTTTTTTTCAAAATTCATATTATAATACCTGAAACATATCTGTGTTGCTGTCATGAGTGTATTCAACCACAACTGTCTGGGCCCGAGACAAAGTATATGATATACTATGCTGATCCTTGTTGCTTATTGCCTGTAAATAAAAAGGTTAATAGTAAAATTATGTAGTCAATGTTTAGTAGAAAATCTTTTCACAAAAGAAGGTAAAAATATCTGTCATACATAAGACACACTATAAACATTAGAGGCTGGTGTTTTCTAGGGACTGGGTATACAGAATACTTTGAGGCAGTTATAGAATAAGAACGTAACGTAAAAAAAAAATCAAAATGACATAAAAGTTTGTGTTACCTTATAAGTATTTTTTATCAAGTGATCAAAATCAAATGCCATGGAGAAAGAAATCAATACTCAGTACCCCCTCTGATACAGAAATACAAAAATCTTATTTCTAAATAGGAATCTTATTTTTCAAGTTACCTAAATAATTATAAAGTGGTAGCAATACTCAGAAATATTTGTTTCTCTAACCATTATGTGATATAGATGACAAATCTGCCATATACTGGGCTACATACAGAAAAATTCATAGAAATGGATATAATGCTTATATTTGTACTTTTGACCTATTCCAAACTAAAAACATTTCTAAAAAGAAATTTTCAGTTTTGTTTTCAAGCATTTTCTATGTAAATGAGTTGAAGATAATATCAGAGGGGAAAAAACCTAGTCATGTACAAAGGAAGTGGAAACAGATTGTGTAAAAGGAAAACAGACACAAAGAGTGATTACACAAAGCAAAGAAGCTAAAGAAAAAAAAGTTTCTAATTAGAAGTTTGGCTTTATAAAAGTTTTTGTCTAAGGCTGCAATGCTTGGTAAGAAATGTATGCATTATCCTGCCCATGTAATTGTAACCCCTCTGTACAGTATGTTCTCAAATAAAATAAAATTAAATTAAAAAAAAATAAAAGTTTTTGTCTAGTTTTAGTTTTTAGCTAATTGGTGGTAGATAAAAGCTTTAAAGTAATAGCTTTCAGAATAAGAAAATTAATTTTCAAACCCAAAGATAATAAACAAATATTTGGGGTGCTATACTAACTAGCTGGTTTTGTCAAAGCTTATCAATGCTCCTTTTGCTTCTCACCTGTTTCTTTTAAGGAAATCACACTTTATAGACATACCTGTATCTGCCCATTTGGCTCTCTCTATTTGCCTTTCTCTAGAGGTTTATGTATTAATATATTCAACGGCACTATATATCATTATTACACAGATTTAAAAATTGATACTTGACACAACATTAATAAACAAATTTTCAAATTAATTGCTATTTTGAATTTTTTGTTTTTTGGTGGTGGAGGGCAGGGTCTTGCCATATAGCCCAGGCTGGCCTCAAACTATTGATCTTTCTGCCTCAATTGTCCAGAGTGCCATCAACGAGGCCTGAAAGTTGACTCTTAATGGCAAGCCAATTTAATTTTTTAAAAAATTAAGTGGACTTTGAGACTGAAATCTTTTCTTAGCTATTAAGCTCACTCTTAGATTGGGAATAAGAACTATGAAAAGATAAATTTGAGTTTCAGTGGATTAGAAGGCAAGATATGAATCCTTTAATCCAGATGACTGGCAGAAATTTTTTTTACAGGCTCTCACTGATATATTCATTTAAAAATTAAAAAAATTACTTTTGTTTATCTCTGATTCCTAAGGTTCTTTTTGCCTAATAAAGATGAAAAAAGCCGAGATAATGATTCCATAAAGGACTAAAAAGTATAAAAAAATGGGAAGATGGATATAAAATAGAATTTTAGAGCTGGGTGTTGGTGGCTCACACCTGTAGGAAGCTGAGATCTGAGGATCATGGTTCAAAGCCAGCCCAGGCAGGATAAGTCCATGAGACTCTGATCTCCAATTAAATACCAAACATAAACGCTGGAATGGAGCTATAGCTCAGGTAGTAGAATGCTAACCTAGAGTAAAAAAGTTTCAGGGACAATGCCCAGGCCCTGAGTTCAAGCCCCAGGACTAGCTCTACTAACTAAATACATAAAAGTTTAAAAAACAGGGGCTGGGAAGGTGACTCAGTGGTAAGAGCGCTTGCTTTGCATGCCTGAGGCCCTGGGTTCGATTCCCAGCACCACAGAAGCAAAAAGAAAAAAGCCGGAAGTGGCGCTGTGGCTCAAGTGGTAGAGCGCTAGCCTTGAGCTGAAGAGCTGAGGGACAGCGCCCAGGCCCAGAGTTCAGGCCCCACGACCGGAACCAAAAAAAAAAAAAAAAAAAAAAAAAAAGTTTAAAAAACAGAATATTTTACAAATAAGGTTAAATATTTTTCCCTGATAGTAGTTCAAAACCAGAGGTAGTATTTGCTATTTAAGGGCATTTGAAAATATGGGAATGTATTTTTTGGCTCTCTCAAGGATGTGAGGGCTCAAAAGGTACTTAGTGGGTGGGAGAAAAATATTAAATGTCTCATGTTATGGTGGAATGTCCTGCAGAAGGACTGGAACACCCAAAATGCCAAGGACACTCTTGTAAGGAAATATTTAAGAAGCTCCTCCAATTGAGATGAATAAGCTATTTACTTCTACTACCTTCTAAGCATATCCCTTATTGTAAAGGAGCAAGATGAAAAACCTTAAAAATTTCCCAAATAGTAACAAAGGAAGACTTGTCAAGGTTTGAGGCCTCTATTTTGCACCCCAAACTATATATATGAAACAAGGCTGAAAATCCTATTAATTTTGAAGACTGGACTATTATTTAAAACAGGGCAGCATATGTCAGCTTTACAGTCTCATTTATTAAATGTACAAAGACATACTCCAGATACTGCAATACTAATGGCACATCTCAGGGCTATATAGCTATACTTCAGAAGTCAAAGAACTCTAGTTTATAAAATTTGCTCATCTATAGTATCAAATTTGGCTGATCATATAATTTAGAGGACAGATAAAGATCTGAAATTCCCTCTTGTTTATCATTTTAGGAAAGTACAAGTATCCTGAAATGATGGGCAAATTTCTGGAAATTTTGGCAAAGAAAGGCAAAGAGACTAGAAGTGTGTGTGTGTGTGGGGGGGTGTGGTATTTGGAGGGGATGGGGCTATACTGTGGATATGGCTATTTGCTTCCATTGCTTTGATTCAATGTAATGATGAGGCCTACTTCATACAAGTGCAGCGAGTGGTAGAAACTCTCAAAGTTACAAAACACAAAAAGATAAATAAATAAAAACAAGAGCGTCCACAGAAACACCAATTAAAAACCTTCAGTGAAGAAATGACTTCATCTGAATGGCTTCTAAAACCTAAATGTTACATATTATAAGCCACATTCCACCATGTCAAGGGGAGGCCCTTATGGTAAAGTAGGGTGGATGGCTGTAACAAAGTAAGCCTTGGCTCTACCTCTACCTCTCTTAACAGGGAATGGGAATGGTTCCTTCTAATTTCTATCCACTGATTCTAATTTGTCATTTTTAAGTTCAGTTCCCTTTCCACACTACAGCCTGAAATATACTGTTTCCAAAGTTTCTGCTCCAATCCAAACAAAAAGAACGTTCTCAAATAGAAATGTGAGGGAAATGCTAGCAAATATAAACACATAAAAATCTTTCAGTTTCTGTTACTTATTTAGTTTTAAACTTTTTTATTTTTATTTTTTACCTTTGCGGCCTGAGGAGTACATGCAATATGCACAGTGCTGGGCTTCACCCCATTTGCCTTAGGTCTTTTAAACAAAGCAAACCTACTTTTCCTTCTTCCTCTATCGCCATTTGGGAGAGACCCATTATACCTGATGGGAGAAGAAAAAAATGTTTAGGTGATTTCTTTTAAGAATCACACAAGTATAAAATAAATGTTTTACTTTGTAGAATCAATTCTCAGTTAATTATCTATTAGCACATGTTAACCATTCGCAATTGATGACCTCTAGACCAATTGTTTTAGTGTGAAACAAAATGAGATTCTTCCTTATTATGATAGAAGTACCTTTTGTATTTCTTTTATTGAAGAACTGAGTAAGGCCTATCTGACTCTTTTTTTTTTTTAGGGTGAATGTTCTTGTGTGTGTTAATACGACCTCTAAATGTAGTGGATGTATTGTTTAAAGTAGAATCTCCAGCCAGTTACCCCAGCTCACACCTGTAAGAAGCTGAGATCTATGAGCATGGTTCTTTCAGCCATGGCAGGAAAGTCAATGAGATTTTTAATCTCCAATTAACTACCAAAAAAGAAAAAGGAAAAGGAAAAAAAGAAAGTGGAGCTGTGGCTCAAGTGGTAGAATGCTAGCCTTAGACAAAACAAACAAACAAACCCTCAGGGACAGTATCCAGGCTCTGATTTCAAGCCCTGAAACTGGTGCGTGTGTGCACGCGTGCACGCACATACACACACACTAGATTCTTTTTTTTTTTTTTGGTCTGGCCATGGGGCCTGAACTCTGGGCCTGGGCGCTGTCCCTCATCTCTTCAGATCAAGGCTAGCGCTCTACCACTTGAGCCACAGCGCCACTTCCGGCTTCTTTCTTTTTGCTTATGTGGTGCTGAGGAATCGAACCCAGGGCCTCATGCGTGCAAGGCAAGTGCTCTACCACTGAGCCATCTTCCCAGCCCTGAAAGTATGTTTTATGGTAATTTCTCCATGATCTCTCTCTCTCTCTCTAACAAGGACTGAAATAACACAGGAAAAGTTAAAAACAAACCCAGACAAGTACTATACACCAAGCACTACTGAGTTGTATTCAAATACAGCATTTCACTTAATCTTGCCTTGTAAAAACTGCCGAATTGGCATCACTGTCCACATTTTCTTTCTTTTTTTTTTTTTTCTGGTCAGTCCTGAGAATTCAGGGTCTGGGCACTGTCCCTGAGCTTCCTTTGCTCAAGGCTAGCAGTCTGCCACTTGAGTTATAGCACCACTTCCAGCTTTTTCTGTTTATGTGGTACTGAGGAATTGAACCCAAGGCTTCATGCCTGCTAGGCAAGTACTTTTACCACTAAGCCACATTCCCAGCCCAACCGTTCACGTTTTTACAAGTTAGGAAAAACGAATTATTTCGGAATGTCACAAACACGACACTGGCAAAACTAGAAAATAATTTCAAGGGTTTTTTTTGGTCATTTTTTACTTTTTCACTGAGGCATAAAGAGTAATTTAATAATAACTACTTATTGCTCCCTGTCCCTGACAAAGTTTTTGATTCTCCTATGTAGTCGGTCCATCTGAGCAGGAATGAAGCAGGGATTAGGGATGGATTTGAGGTTGGAAGAAAAAGCAATTGAAAATGGCCAGCAAATAGTTTACAAGAATGAATCATGTTTTAAAGATGAAAAGAGTTTACTCAATGATTGCCATGTATAGAAATTATACTAACCCAATATAAAACAAAGCATTACAAGGTGAGAGCTCCTGCTAATCTTGTTGGTCTTGTTCCAAGGGCAAATAGAGCTCCCCTTCATTTATACTTTAATTTTGCTATTCTGGACTATGTGTGGCCATCAGCCTTATGGTGAGCTCCTTACAGACCCTTGGCTACTGTCTTCTAAAAGTCCCTGACTCATGCTTTTTCTGGATCTGTGCTCTCAAGTTCCTAGTTTATGTTCCTAAATTCAATCCTCTTGTCTAAGCAATAGCAGGAAATAGATAACTATATCTGGTTTTACTCTTAGACTTATTGCATTTTAGGTCATTAAATATCAGATATATAGTTAATTACTACTGCTAATGATTAACTGGGAAATCTTTAGGCTAAATGAGACAGTTTAAAACTATCCGGTTCTTCAAAAATCCTTGAATTCCTTGAGGCTATACCTCCAGCCTGGTTTTTACAGGTTAGTTGGGAGAATCTTTAGGTTTTTCTGCCTGGTCTGGCTTCAAATTGATTTTTCCAGGTCTTAGCCTCTTAAGTAGCTAGGATTATAGGAGTGAGCCAACACTGCCTAGATAAAATCTTTGCTAAAAAAATTAACTCATCAGCATAGTTGTTTTTTTCTTCTTCTGGTAGTTAAAAAAGCTGTTTGTCATTAATACTATTAACAGCGATATGACCTGAAGTTATAATATTGCAATTACTAAATACTTTGATTTTTTTGGGTGGTACCAGAGTTTGAACTCAGGACCTTGCACTTGAGTCATACTCCTAAACCTTTTTTCGCTATGTTTGTTTTTAGTTGGGGTCTTGCATTATTGTCTGGGATCAGACTCTAACTTCCACACTCATATTTATCCCATTCTACTCTTATCTCCTGCCTAGCTAGGATTAGAGCCCAGATTATATGGCCATCACACCAGTCTTGTTAACTTTCTTCCAGGCCTGGTATCAAACTGTGATTTTCCAAATCTCTGCCTCCTAAGTAGCTTGGTTTACAATTGTACACCACCATGCCCATCCCAAGTTTATGATATTTAAGGGTGTTTTTTTTTTGGGGGGGGTGTATATGTATGTGTGTGTATGTGTGAGAGAGAGAGAGAGTCCTGGCGCTTGAACTGCTGTCCCTAAAGGCTAGCACTAAACCGCTTGAGCCACAGCTCCACTCCTGGCTTTTTGGTGGTTAATGAGTCAAGAGTATCACAAACTTTCCTACCCAGGTTGGCTTCCAAGGACAATCCTCAAAACTCAGCCCCTTTTATGTCTGCTTAGGAGACACCACCTTCCTTCCCCCAACCCAAATACAACGCTGAAGCCCCCAAACCTGTAACTACCTGTAACTGTTAACCACCTGTCAATCACCTGACTGGGCATCAGCAAAAAGGTCCCAGGCTCTGAGATCACTTCCACATCTGCTGAGGCCCCACCTTTCCCTATATAATCTCTCTCCACCATTAGTTAAGCTGCTACTTGCTACCTGCTACATTCCAGATGCTATTCTACAACCTGCTCGAGTCCAGCCTGGTAGTTTAGCTCTCCCAAATAAACTCTCTTCTGCCTGAACCGTGCGGTAGCAACTCTCACACTGAGTAACTACAATTATAGGCATGAGCCACTGGCACCCAGCTATCAGTTTGCTTTTTAAGATTAAAAAAAAAATGCGTTTTCAAAAGGTCTTAGAAAATGGAATCAGAGAACTTTTTTTGTTAGGCTTGTGACAGATGGGGCAGAATGATGGAAGGGGTGACACTGGTCAAGATATACTATACTCATAAAATGACATGTTGAATTGAAACTCCTTTGGACAATTACTTAAAAATTAAAAAAAGAAAAGAAAAAGAAAGAAAAAAGTCCTTAGATGATCTTGTTTAATTGTCACTGTACAGCCTATATGGTGGACTTGCCTAAGACCATACAGTTAGCTATGCTGGAATAAGCACCAGAATCTAGGATTTTCTGCTTCCAGTAAAGCTCAGTAATTTTTTCTCTCTTACCTTCTGAAACAACAGATTCTCACTTAAACAGTATCCATCTAATTCTCAAACTTACTGCAATCTCTACAGTTATTTTTTATACATAATCAGAGAAACAACAGGTGGAAAGGATATTTTGCAATTTTAGCTTTTAGGATCTCCAGTTTAGACTGCTTCCATTTTGACAGTTACAACATGTTTGGACTGAATAAACTGAAGTACTAGAGTTATCTAGTCTTCAATCCACAGCCTATTTTTCTAGGAATTAAATGAAAGAGAATACTGTGCAAGCAAGTAGCTTAGTTCTAGGCTTCTCCATCATCCTACTGTTTTTATACACCTACATACCTTTTTTTGACTAGAAATAATAGAAATATCTTAAACACAAACCAACAACTACTTCAGAGGGACAAAACAACATATAAACAGCAAGTGACAAAAAATAACTCAGAGGAGGAAAAGAATGGGGGCTTTTGGGATAGTGGGCTGAATGGTAGAAGAAAGCTTTCTAAAAGATGGGATAAAGAAAGCAAACTTTGTTCTTTTATGCATTGTTTGTGCTGTAATTAAGCCCAAATAAAATAGCACAAATGTGAAAACTCAGTTTCTTAATATGATAACATTAACCTGTAACTTTAGATTTGGGGGAGGAGGGAGTAGAAAAGACATAAATTCTAAAAGTAAGAGGATTTCTATCTCTTAATGTCCCATGAGATATAAAAATCTTACCCTAGGACAATGAGTTCTCCATATTTTACTGGTGCTTTGGAAGGATGATTTTCTTGATCAGGAGAAAACATGAGCTTGGTTGTCTTTCTCAAATCTTTGGTCACTGGTCAAGAGCCTTGGGACACTTTTTGCATTATTTCCTGTAGGGGAAAAGTTTTCATTAGTAATGTGAACAATGAATTTCAGTTTAAATATATTATTTTCCAGCAGTCCTCTGGAGCACAGTATTATGCAAATCATCACATGATATACAAAGTATGTGACATTTTCCCCATCAATGCTTATATATTTGACACAACTGGATCAAAATATAAATTAGATACAGACCAACTGAGTAGATGTACTTTTCCCTGTTATTTCTTTTTTGTTGTTGTTGGTGGTGGTGGTCATAGGTTTGAACTCTGGGCCTGAGCACTGTCCCTGAGCTCTTCAGCTCAAGGTGAGTATTCTACCACTTGAGCCACAGCATCAGTTCTGGTTTCTGGTAGTTAATTAGAGATGAGAGTCTCATGGACTTTCCTGCCTGGGCTGGCTCTGAACTTTGATTCTCAGATCTCAGCCTCCTGAGTATCTAGTTTCACAGGCATGAGCTATCAGTGTCTGGCTTTTTTCCTATTACTTCTACAGGGTACAACTAAAAACTATGGACATAAGTTTGCTGTGTTTTCCTTTTGTTCATTGTGGTGGTGGGGTTGAACATAGGGCCTTTCCATACCATACAAATGCTCTACCACTGAACTACTCCTCAGCTCTGCTTACTGGCTTGCCAGACCTAGCAAGCCAAACCTAGCAAGCCAGACCTAGCAAGCCAGCAAGCAAGCAAAGGGCCTCATGCTTGCTTGATTTTCTTGCTCATAGATGGCAATCTACTACTACTTGAGCTACACCTTTAGCCCTGCTTTTTTGTTTAAGTGGAGATAACAATCTCATGGACTTCTCTGCCTAGGCTGGCTCTGCATGGAGATCCTCTAGGTCTCAGCCTCCTGAGTAGCTAGGATGACAATTGTAAACCACCAATGCCTGGCTTTTTTTGACCAATACATCCCTAAAGAAGGCAGCAGCGTGGAAATGTCAACTAATACCATCAGTAAATCAAATAATAAATCAAACAAATAAGTAAAATGCTACAACAAAAGCTTGCTTTCTGGTTAAAGAAACATTAAAATGCCTAGAAAGATATAAAAATCTCTTTTTCTTAGTTTTGACTTTTTGGGGTTTTTTTGAGACAAAATCTCACTATGGAGCCAGGCTACCCAGGAATTAACAATTCTTCTGTCCCTGCTTCCCAAGTTGTTGATTACCACACCCAGGTTACACAGAAAACTTTTGATAGCTGTTTTACTTTAGCTCAAGACTAGAGAAACACTGCAAGTGCTAAGTGGTAAGCCCCTTGAAACACAATGAGGAAGGTAGTGTCAATGTAGGCCTAGTGGAAGCTACCACTGGTTTCAAATTTCCAGTACCAATAGACAGTTTTGGCAAAGAAATAGAAAATATAAAGAAGGGTATTAGAGGTAGAAAATATATAAGCCAAATTGAAAAGCTTACTAATCAGCTCAACTATAAAATAGAATGGACTTAATAAAGAATCAGGAAACTAGAATGATAGATATCAAATTTGAACAAAAGCGAAAAATTTGGAAGTGGGATTCTGTGAGACTAGAGGAAAAAAAAAGGTAACTTTTGTTTCATTGGAATCTCAAGGAGAGAAGAGCTAAAGAAATAAAGGCTGAAAACAAATTTGAAAAGAGAAATAATAGTAAGAAACTGCTCAAACTCCACTCAGATATTCATGTAAAGAGATTTAAAGTTCTGAAATCTAAAGGCAAAGAAAGTAGAGAAAAATCTATCCTTTACCTATGGGAGGGTAGCGGGGGTGGAAGGTGTAGTAAAGACCAGTTACAGTTAAACTGGTAGTGCAATGGTAGCAGTTTTCTCATTAGAAACAATGAGTGACAAAAAATAATGGTTTAATAACTTCTTGGTTCTAAAAAAATGTCAACAAAGAATTTTATAGCCAATAAAAATAGAGGGATAATCAAGACATTCTCAGATGGGAAAACACTAAAAGAATTTTCCAGCAGATAAAAACAGAATGGCTAGAGAAAATTCTGCAAACAGAAATGATAACATGGTAGCAAGAATATAGGGAAATGTAATAAACTTTTTTATTTTCTAAATTATACTTGATCAAAGTGAAAGCGTGACACTACCTAATCCGGATACCTTTATAAACATACACAAAGGACGTGTATGTGTGTGCAGGTCCTTGGGACTTGAACTCAGGGCCTGAGTGCTGTTCCTGAGCTTTTTATTTTTTTGGTCCGGCCATGGGGCCTGAACTCTGGGCCTCGGCGCTGTCCCTCAGCTCTTCAGATCAAGGCTAGCACTCTACCACTTGAGCCACAGCGCCACTTCCGGCTTTTATCTTTTTGCTTATGTGGTGCTGAGGAATTGAACCCAGGGCCTCATGCATGCAAGGCAAGCGCTCTATCACTGAGCCACCTTCCCAGCCCCTTCCTGAGCTTTTTAAATCAAGGTTAGCATTCTTATCACTCAGCCACAGCCCCACTTCTTGCTTCTCCCTCCTCCTCCACCCTGGGTGGCAGAATTCTTAAATGAAAGTGTAAGAGCTACACAAGAGATTAGTCTTCTAACACAGCTGAGTGGCTGTGTTTTTGTATTCATACTCTATATATCATTTTCTCTGTATTCTAAAATACGAGGCTCTAAAATAAATTCCTGAAGTTATGCACTTAAGAACCTGAATGGAATATAAAATATCCCAGCTGGGCTCTGTAATCCTAGCTACTCAGGAGGCTGAGATCTGAGGGCTGCTGTTCAAAGCCAGCCCAGGTAGTAAAGTCCATGAAACTCTCATCTTCAATTAGCCACCAGAAAACATGAAAATTGTGGCTCAAAGTGGAAGAGCTAACCTTGAGCAAAAGAGCTCAAGAACAGTGCCCAGGCCCTGAGTTCAAGCCCCACAACCAATTAAAAAAAAAATCTTAATACTTCAATTACTGGCCTCACGGGCTTCAATTCAGTTAGTTGATCTGACCCTATACAGCCCTATTCCAATGTGATCTATTGCTGAGAACATGGAATATCATTCTGAGACTGGAAAAACATTGAGAAAATCTTGCTAAGATAAACAAGATATAATAGGCTCTGCTTGATCACTGAAAATTAAGCATGTGACTTTCCTATTTAATAAGAATGGTTTTATGAATTTGACAGATCGAACAGTTTAACCATTTGTTCTGCGAAGGAAAGAAGTACCATTACTTTCTTATCACGTTTTCCCAAAAGAAAAACTTTTTTTTTTGGGGTCCGGTCATGGGGCCTGAACTCTGGGCCTGGGCACTGTCCCTCAGCTCTTCAGCACAAGGCTAGCACTCTACCACGTGAGCCACAGCGCCACTTCCGGCTTTTTTTTTTCTTATGTGGTGCTGAGGAATCGAACCCAGGGCCTCGAGCATGCAAGGCAAGTGCTCTACCACTGAGCCACCTTCCCAGCCCCAGAAAAACTTTTTACTATATGAAATCATCAGGCCAGGCGCCGGTGGCTCACGCCTGTAACACTAGCTACTTAGGAGGCTGAGATCTGAGGATCATGGTTCAAAGCCAGCCTAGGCAGGAAAGTCTGTGAGGCTCTTATCTCCGGTAATCCACCAGCAAACTCCAAGTGGTGCTGTGGCTCAAGTGGTAGAGCACTAGCCTTAAGCTGAAGAGGTCAGGGACAGCACCCAGGCCCAGAATTCAAGCCCCACCATCAACAACAACAAGAAAGAAAGAAAGAAAGAAAGAGAGAAAGAGAGAAAAAGAGAGAAAGAAAGAGAGAAAGAAAGCGAGAAAAACCATTAGCTTCACCTGGAGATGAAAAATGGGAAAACCAATCTTTGTCCCTCAAGATAACATGCTCCTTTTACTATTTACAATGCACACACCTTGTTTTACTTACTGTCTACTAACCACCAGTACAAATTTCTGAAAAGTAAAAAGAACTAAGATAAAACTAAGTAATGAAGATACCTGCTGTGGGTGCAAATTTGCACCCACATAGGACTGAACAGGCTAATTCTTATAGTAATTCTTATATAATACGAGACCTATTGGAGGATTTTTTTTTTTTTTTTTGCCGGTCATGGAGCCTGAACTCTGGGTCTGGGTGGTGTCCCTCAGCTTTTCAGCTCAAGGCTAGCGCTCTACCATTGGAGCCACAACACCACTTCCGGCTTTTTCTGTTTATGTGGTGCTGAGGAATCGAACCCAGGGCCTCATGCTTGCAAGGCATGCACTCTACCGCTGAGCTACCTTCCCAGCCCTGGGGGATCATTTATATAAGAGACCAAAAAGCATACGTGTATACGTGTATAAAACAAACCCTAAGAAAATGATACTTAAGTGTAGACAGGTAACAACTATGAATGTGAGTACTTTGTGAAATCATCTGAACCCTTTGCCACTTCCTCAATGTTCATTGCATTTGTCAATCCATTTCCTGCTGGTGACCAATATTAAAAACCTCAGTACATGAAGTGGACACATTACATACTTATTTAAAACATAGAGAGGGAAGAAATGCAAAGGAAAAACCAGAGTATTGAACTTAAACTCCTGGCTCCATTAGAAAAACATGTATTTGAAGTGAGTCAAGACAGCTTAGGGACAAAAAGCTTTATGTGCTCCTAGAATGTGACAAGCCAAAAAAGACTTCAGGGCACTATTCCTGATTGGAGAGGTGTTTGCTTAAAATAACCTTACCATTATAATCTTCCTCCAACTTCAATCACCCGAAAAGCTATTTTAAAAGTACAACTAAGAGCTCAAACATGTTTACTGCCACTGTCCTTTTCAGACCTACACTCAGCAATTTAGATTATCGAAGTTCTTAAAATGATAATATGCTTCTCAGAAAGCAAGTATAGAAGTTAGCTCCTGTATTAACCATTAAAGTAACAAACAAAATTCAGCAAAAAGCAGGAAAAAATGGTGGGATTCATCAGTTATTTGGAACAAAAACACAAGACAAAAGTACATTCATAGGAAATTGTATCATTTTCCCAAGTCAGCATCTAACACTGGTAGTCTCTTTCACAAGGGCTAACACTAGTCTAGCTCTGAGCCAAATAATGTC